TGTTGGTTAGAAGTTGGCTTGGGACGCCAGCTCTGAGCATCAAGGGTGCCGGTTCAGATCCCAAATGAGGGCCAGTGATGCTGCGCCCTCTACAGCTAAGATGGTCAACAGCTCGACCTGGAGGTGGGCTGCTCTGAGTCGCCAGTGATGGCGTAGGCTGCAGTGGGGCTGGCCGGCAGTGGGTGTGAGCTTTCGTGAGCTGCCATGAGCGGCTGTCTAATGGCCAGTGAGTGACTGCCTCAGCCGGGAAAAGCGCAATGATAATACCAACATGGGACAGTGAAGCAACGTCCTCCACAACTAGACTGAAGAACAAAACTTGTTCTGTTCCCCTTCCCCGATTCCCTAATAAAATCTTTAAAACACACACACACACACACACACACACACACACACATAACAAACCCACTAGAATGGCTAAAATTAAAAAGACTAACCAAGTGTTGGCTCGGATGTGGAGCAAATGGAACTCTTAAAAAAAAAAAGAAAAAGAAAAAGAGTGCCCTTTGTATTATTTTCTTAGAGAAGATTCAGACAGACCTAGCAGCCACCAGAGGATACTGTGGAGTCAGCTGTAGCTCTCTTCTAGAGATTGTTCTTTTCTGTTTTAGGCTCAGATAGAAAAGACTGAAAGAGTTCGTGTATAATAGCTCTTACATTTCATAACTCAGTTTAGGCTAAATCATTGCCTCTTCACTTTGAAAATAACCACATAATACGCTTACTGATTAGTATTAACTGTGATCTCAATTTTTGTGTTTATTTTATAACCCTTTTAATTAAACTGGTCTGGTAGATTTGTTATTTATCTTTGAAATAGTTATTTGAATGTTGATTTTGTTTTAATTAATTTGCTCATTGTAATAAAAGAGATGTAAGTTTTAAAAATTGTTTTGCCTATTAGTCACATATAATGTAGTGGCTATGAAATATTTTAGATCCTGGAGTTAGATTTCCTGGATTTGAACCCTGACCCTGCCCTTGCCAGCAATGGAGACTTGGGCAGGCCAGGCAGATTCCTTAACTTTTGAGTCTTGGTTTCCTAATGAGTAAAGAGGGTAAAAATAGTTCCTACCTCATGTAAATGTTAACTGAATTAATATATGAGTATGTAATGGCATAGCACCTATTATGAGTAAATGGTACCTATTACATGATTGTAACTATTATCAATTAAAATTACTTGGAAAGATTTTAGAAGAAAAATGTTACTTAACATATTTCAGTATGAGGTGTTTAAAATGGAATAATGACTGCCAAATGAAATGAGTTTGTTTTCTTAATCATTTGACGCCCATACAGTTAGTTCCCACCTGCTTCACTTTCAAGTTTCTAAGGAAATTGAGACCAGTGTGTATGAACTTACCTCAGCTTTCCACGTATCATTTCTACATACTTGTAAGTATTTTCCAATTATGCTTAGCTTTTTCCCTCTTGCCTTTGAGATAGAGCTGATTTCATATTCATGATCAGTTTCACTACCAACTGTGCACGTGACCCCATCTTCTCTTACTTGCTTAGGAGCCTTGCTTTATTGATTATTCATTTCTCCAGATTCTCCAACTATGTATCTGTATTGGATCCCCTCCTTCGTCATACCCTAGTGCACAGTAGGTACACAGAAGTGTTCACTGAGTAAAGCAGGGTGGTTAAGAATTTGGAGCCTGGAGTTAGACCCCTGAGTTTAAGCCCTACTTGGGCTCACCCAGAACAATTTAGTTAGCTTCTCTTTCCTGATCTGTAAAATGGATTAAATTATACCTATGTCATGGGGTGGTTTTTAGAATTTTACATAGAAAACACAGCATCTATGTCTGGCAATTCCTGGACAAGGACAAAAAGATTCAGAAAGATTTAATCACATAGTTACGTTGGAAGTGGAGAATTTGAAAAACTGACCAAAAGACTAGGAAGAAAGGGCTTGGGCAATAAGTCACTTTATTAGATAGAAGCATATGTGTAGTATAGTGACTATTTGGACTCTGGGTTATTGGTACTTGATAGAATTTTGTTACTGTTTTCTATTTCAAAGAAAGACTTAGGTATTTTCCCCCTATGTAGGGTGAGTAGGTTAAATTGAGTACAGAAGATCCTTGAATAATGTTTTGTTATAACATCGATGAAATACTGTAGGAACTTAACTCTTGTTTACATCAATTAGCCTGTGGTAAAATTGGTTTCAATATATGTTGTTTTGCTTAAAGTCACAGAACCTTTTTTTAATTAAGTAAAGATATTTATTATTAGTTTCAGGTGTACAGAACAACATTGTATTAGACATTTATACACCTCACACAGTATTAAATGGTATCAAATGGTATTAAAGTACCATTGACTATATTCCCTAAGCTATACTTTGCATTCTGTGAATATATATATATTTTTTAAATTACACTTGACATTCAATATTACTTTATTTAGTTTCAGGTGTACCGTGCAGTGGTTAGGCATTTATGTAATATATGAAGTGATCCCTCCGATAAGTCCAGTACCCGTTTGACACCATACATAGTTTTTACAATATTATTGACTATATTTCCCATACTGTATTTCACATCCCTGTGACTGTTTTGTAACCACCAATTTGTACTTCCCTTCACCTTTCTCATCCATCCCCTCAACCCCCCCTCCCATCTAGCAACCATCAATTTGTTCTCTGTATCTATGAGTCTATTTCTGTTTTTTTATTCTGTTCTTTAGATTCTACATATAAGTGAGGTATGGTATTTCTCTTTCTCAGTCTGACTTATTTCACTCAGCATAATATTCTCTAGGCCCATCCACGTTGTCGCAAATGGGAAGATTTTATTCTTTTTTATGGCAGAGTGATACTCCATTATATAAATGCACCATGATTTCTTTATCTAATCATCTATTGATTGTCATTTCTGTAGTTTCCATATCTTGGCTATTGTGAATAATGCTGAATAGGGGTGTGTATATTTTTTGAATTAGTGTTTTGGATTTCTTTGGATAAATATCCAGGAATGGAATTGCTGGGTCATAAAGTCGTTCTATTTTTAATTTTTTGAGGAACCTCCACACTGTTTTCCTTAGTGGCTGCACCAATTTGCAATCCCAACAGTACTTGAGGGTTCTTTTCTCCACATCCTGGCCAACACTGGTTTGTTAATTTACTGATGATAGCCATTCTGACAGGAGTGTAGTGGTATCTCGTAGTGGTTTTTATTTGCATTTCTCTGATGATTAGTGACATTAAGCATCTTTTTATACGTCTATTGGCCATCTGTATGTCCTCTGGAGAAACGTCTATTCAGGTTCTCTGCCCATTTCTAATTGGATTGCTTGTTTTTTTGTGTTGAGTTGTATGAGTTTTTTGTAGATTTTGTATATTAACCCCTTATCAGATACATCATTGGCAAATCTCTTATTCAGTAGGATGTCTTTTTGTTTTGGTGATGGTTTCCTTTGTTGTAAAAAATCTTGTTAGTTTAATGTAGTCCCATTTGTTTATTTTTTCTTATGTTTCCCTTGGCTGAGGAGATATATCAGTAAAAATATTACTAAGGGTAATGTCTGAACACTTACTTTCTATATTTTCTTCTAGGAGTTTTATGGTTTCAGGTCTTACATTTTAGCCTTTAATCCATTTTGAGTTTATTCTTGTATCTGGAGTAAGAAGATGGTCCAATTTCTTTTTTTTTGCATATATCTGTCCAGTTTACCCAGCACCATTTATTGAATAGACTGTCTTTACTCCAGTGTTAATTGTTGCTTCCTTTGTCGTAGATTAAATGACCGTATTGACATGGATTTGTTTCTGGGTTCTCTATTCTGTTCCATTGATCTGTGTCTATTTTGATGCCAATACTGTGCTGTTTTCATTACTATAGCCTGTAGTGTAATTTGATATCAGGTAGCATGATATGCATATCTCCTGCTTTGTTCTTCTTTCTCAGGATTGCTGTGGCTATTTGGGGTCTTTCATGGTTCCATATAAATTTTAGGATCATTTGTTCTAGTTATGTGAAAAATGCCATTGTTATTTTGATAGGGATTACATTGAATCTATAAATTGCTTTGGATAGTATGGATAATTTAACTGTATTTTTCCTATTCATGAGCATGGTATATGTTTCCATTTATTTTTATCTTCTTTAACTTCTCTCTTCAAGGTCTTATGATTTTTTGAGTATAGGTCTTTTACTTCCTTGGTTAAATTTATTCCTAAGTATTTTATTTTTATTTTTTTGATGCAATTGTAAATGGTATTGTTCTCTTAATTTTTCTTTATGTTAGTTCATTATTGGTTTTTAAAAATGCAACTGATTACTGAATATTAATTTTGCATTGTGCCACTTTACTAAGTTCATTTATCAGTTGTAATAAGTTTTTGGTAGAATCTTTGGCATTCTCTCTATATAGTATATCATCTGCAAATAATGACAGTTTTACTTCTTTACCCATTTGGATGCCTTTTATTTCTTTGTCTTGTCTGATAGTTGTTTCTAGGACTTCCAGTACCATGCTGAATAAAAGTGGTGAAAATGGGCATTCTTGTCTTGTTCCCGATCTTAAGGAGAATGCTTTTAGTTTTTCCCCATTGCGTATGATATTCACTGTGGTTTGTCATCTATGGCCTTTATTATTTTGAGATATGTTCACTCTAGTCCCACTTTGCTGAGAGTTTTTATCATAAATGGATGCTGGATCTTGTCAAATGCTTTTTCTGCATTTGTTGATATAAACCATATGATTTTTGTTTTTCATTTTTTTTGTGTAGTGTATCATGTTAATTGATTTGCGTATATGGAACCAATCTTGCATACCAGGAATGAGTCCAACTTCATTGTGGTGTATGATATTTTTAATGTATTGCTGAATTCGGGTTGCTAATATTTTGTTGAGTATTTTCGCATCTATGTTCATTAGGGATATCAGCCTATAATTTCCTTTTTTTGTAGTGTCTTTGTCTGGTTTGGAATCAGGGTAATGGTAGCCTTGTAAACTGAGCTTGGGAGCCTTCCCTCCTCTTGATATTTTGCAATAGTTTGAGAACAGGTATTTTCTTTGTTTTTGTTTGTTTGTTTGTTGTTGTTGAGTGTTTGGTAAAATTCACCTGTGATGCCATCTGGTTCAGGATTTTTGTTTGTTGGGAGGTTGTTGTTTACTGATTGGATTTTGTTGGTAATCATTGGTCTTTGCAGATTTTCTGTTTTTTCTTGATTCAGCCTTGGAAGATTGTATGCTTCTAGGAATTTATCCATTCCTTCCAGGTTGTTCCATTTGTTGGCATGTAGAACCTATCGACATTGTTAAGTGAGGGCTTTTTTCCCCTTTTCTCTGTCTCTTGCAGGTGCTTTGGCTTGGATAAATGCTCAGTGGGAGGATTACACTTGATTGAACAGACTCGTTTTATTAGAGAGTAAAGCGATGACAGCTAGTCTCACAGACATAGGAAATTCATTTGGTGGCTCAACTAGTCCTTTAGTCAGTAGATCTAGAAGCTCATCCGTGGAAGATGATGACGATGATGTTGTATTTATTGAATCTATACAACCTCCTCCAATTTCTGCTCCAGCAATAGCTGATCAAAGAAATTTTATATATGCTTCATCAAGGAATGAAAAGCTACAAGGAAATTATTCTACAGTTCTTCCTTCCTCAAGAGATTTGGCTTCTCAGAAGGGGAATATAAGTGAGACAATTGTTATTGATGACGAAGAGGACATAGAAACAAATGGAGGGGAAAAGAAAAATTCTTCCAGTTTTAATGATTGGGGACTTCCTGACACTAAAAACAGAATCAAAGATTTGGATTTCTCCACTTCCGGTCTTTCAAGAAGTAAGGTAAATGCAGGAATGGGTAATAGTGATATCACTACAGAATCGACTCTGAAATTCAGATTGCTAATGTTACAACCTTAGAGACAGGTGTAAGCTCTGTGAATGATGGGCGAGATATGAACTTAATGATTACACATGTAACATCACTGGAGAATACCAGCTTGGGAGATGTCTCTAACGGACTGCAGTCAAGTAATTTTGGTGTTAATATACAAACATACACCCCATCTTTAACTTCACAGACCAAGACTGGAGTAGGACCTTTTAATCCTGGTAGAATGAATGTGGCAGGAGATGAATTTCAGAATGGAGGATTTGCAACTCAACATAGTCCTGGTAAGCCATGAGTGGTCTTCTACCCCATGTAAATAAACTTTTGGCTATTGTTTTTAGTACACATATCTATTTAATTTATGTTGTATATGTGAAATATTTCTCTTGACTCCCAGGTTAAGATAGAATATTTTACTTAATAAAACTGTGCAGTCTACTTGGTCTCTGAATTTTCAGGAATTTAATTTGTTTTACCCATTGTGACTTACGTCTCAAGTTTAATTGAAAAACTCCATAACCACTACAACCACCCTTGTTTACTAGTGTCTATTTTAATGTAAAAACCATAATAAAAAGATGGATAGTGAACTGAAGGGGAATATAATGTAAATTTACGTAGTAACTGAATTTAATTTACAAGTACTAACTTGAAATTTTAAGTTTTGCTTTACAAGTGTTTACCTTTGGACTGCTTGTCTTTGATTTTCATTTTTAAATCAACATTTTATTAGTTACTTTATTTTAAAAGTTTCTTGCCTTTAAATCAGAGACCTGTATTTTAAAAACTTTTATGTGGACAGTCTTGTTCTGATAAAATATAGTGAAAGTCACTTTCATGACATGTGTGAGGTTTTGGGGGGACTTTTTTGTATTTTTGTGGGGGAGTTGTTGATTTTGTTTTTTGGCCATTTTAGTGTTTTTAGCTCTTGACCAACTTAAAATTTTGAGAAAGGGGGCCGGCTGAGTGGCGCGATGGTTAAGAACTCGCTGGTGGCGCCAGAGGGCCCCGGTTCGGATCCCACATGTGAGGGCCAGTGACACTGCCCTCTACAGCTAAGACGCTGAACAACAGCTCAACCTGGAGCTGGGTTGCCTTGAGTCGCCGGTGACGGCATAGGCTGCAGTCCCTGTGGCAGTGGGTTACCATGGGCTACCGTATATAGCCAGCAGCCAGCGTGAGCGGCCAGCAGCCGCCGTGAGCGGCCGCCCAGGAAGAGTGCAATGATGGTGCCAAATTGGGCCAGTGAAGCAGCGTCCTCCACAACTAGACTGAAGAACAAAACGACAGCAACTTGTCTGTTCCCCTTCCCCCAATTCCCCAGCACTGTTCCCATCCCCCCAATTCCCCAATTAAAAAAAAATCTTTAATAAAAAAATAAGAAAAAAAATACTAGCATTCCATTAAAGCAATAAGTGATTAGGTTCTTTTTTTAGCTGAGCCATCCTGCCACTTACAGGCAGCTCAGCTTGAGCCGGGAATCGAACTGCTGTTGCTCAGAGTTTGCAGTCTTGAGCGAGCTCTTAACCAACTGAGCCACTTGGCTGGCCCAACTGATTAGGTTCTTAGCTTTAGTTACGTTTCATTCCTTTCCCCAATTTTTTTTTTTTTTTTAGTCTTTTTCTGTGGTTATGAAAATACTATGTGGTTACTATAGAATATTTAGAAGCAATCACAGTTAGACATAAGAAAATAACATCTGTCACCATACCCCACTAACTAGGAGTGACTGCTGTTAAAATTTGGGTTTGTTTGCTTTCAGTCTTTTGCCTCTGTGGTTTTAAAAAACATAATTTAGAGCATATTATATGTAGTTTTGTATTCTATTGATTTACTTATTCTAAATATTGGTATGTTATGTCATTTTAAAAATAGAAGTTTCATGGCTATGAAATACGTATGTATTCCTTTGTTTGAGATACCTGTGCCTCTACTTTCTTTTAGCATTCATATCGTTTCCCATTTTTTACTGTTGATTTTTTCCTTTTTTTTTTTTTTTCTCTTTTTTTGGGGGGGAGACAGGGCTTTTGCTCATGGCACCAAAACTTGACAAGTGATAATGTCTTAAAGGTTTACACACTGAGGAATTTTAAACCATATAGTGAACTTTTATTTCTCTATTACATTAAAATCCATTGGTCTTTGAAAGGATCTTTTACTTTTGTATGATTTTTTTTTTTTTTAAGATTTTATTAGGGAATTGGGGGACGGGAACAGCCAAGTTGTTGTCCTTGAATCTTGGTTGTAAAGGGTGCAGAAAGCTCAGCTCCAAGTCCAGTCACACCACTCAGCTCAAGGTGCTGTGTTCAATTAGTTGAGGGTGGGCGTAGCCACCATCCCATGTGGGAGTCGAACCAGCAGCCTCGTTGTTAAGAACGCACGCTCTATCCACTGAGCCATCCAGGCGGCAGCTCAGCTCATGGTGCCGAGTTCAGTCTTAGTTGCGGGTGGGCATAGCCTACCATCTCGAACAGGCAACCTTGTTGTTAGTAGCACATGCTCTCACAGGCTGAGCGTTGGCAGCTCAGCTCGGGCACAGCTCACTGGCCTATGTGGGAATTGAACCGGCGGCCCTGTTGCTCAGAGCTCACACTCTTGGACAAGTTCTTAACCAACTGAGACACTCGGCCAGCCCTGTATGATTTTGTAATATTGTGCTTTGGTTATTTGCAAAATACCGATTCACTGAATTACCCAGATTTTCTCAAAGTTGACATTTTAGAAAGCTGTCAAGCTCACAGTGGTGAGTACAAGTTTTTTTGTTGTTTGTTTGTTTTTTAAAGATTTTTATTGGGGAATTGGGGGGATGGGAACAGTGCTGGGGAATTGGGGGAAGGGGAACAGACAAGTTGCTGTCCTTTT